AAGCGTGCAGAGGGGTGGGGGCCATGAGAGAGAGAGAGACAGAGACAGAGAGATGGAGAGGTGGAGAGAGACAGAGAGACAGAGAGAGGGAGAGAGAGCGGCTGGGTCTGATGTGCTGTGTTACATGCAGCGGTGGAGGCATGCCCAGAAGGGCAGCACATGGCTCTGCCTGAGGATGCCAGACGGGCAAAGGTTCCTGGCAGAGAGGTGATGCCTAAGGTGAGCACTGAGGATGAGTAAGAATGAGAAGAGACACCTGAGGCAACATGGCATGTACTGGAGTCTGCAATGACTAGACAGTGAGTGAGACTGAAGAAAGAGCAGGAGCTGAGACCTGCGGGTACATACCCCGAGGAACTGGGACGTGGTGTTCAGCCATGTTCATGGAGGAGCAAGAAATGCAATCCATATGTGATAGAATACTTTTTTTAACCTTTACAGGCAGTATCAGGACTAAAGATATCAATATCTATCAGAGCATTGGTAACATAGAAGTGAAAGAAATTCTTAGATGGATGAGAAATGACACAGAAGAGGAGGGAAAAGAGCACCACTCCAAGCATAGAACTCCAAGGAGCAAGACTCGGGTCTTAAGATCCAGAGCCTCTATCAAAGAGTCTTGGAAGAGGGCTTCCCTGGTGGCGCAGTGGCTGAGAGTCTGCCTGCAGATGCAGGGGACGCGGGTTCGTGCCCTGGTCCGGGAAGATCCCACATGCCGTGGAGCGGCTGGGCCCGTGAGCCATGGCCGCTGAGCCTGCGCGTCCGGAGCCTGTGCTCCACAACGGAAGAGGCCACAGCAGTGAGAGGCCCGCGTACCGCAAAAAAAAAAAAAAAAAAAAAAAAAGAGTCTTGGAAGAATTGGTTGATTGACTAGGAGGAGCCAGGCGAGAGGCTGTCTTGGAAGCCAAGGAAGTGAGAAGTCTGAAAAATGAGAGTGTGGTCACCATGTCACATCAACAAAGTGACCCAGGAAGATAAGGACTGAAATGTATACAGGGCCTTTGCACAGGCTGTGAGTTTGTCTGGAATGCTCCCCCCAACACACACACAGTGTTCTCCAAGTTCATTCCCACTCTTCCTTTGGACCCTGACCTAAATGTCACTTTCCTAAGGATGCCTTTCCCGGCTCTTTTCCTGGTCAGTTGTCTCCCTGTTTTCCCTCACAGGAACATGTGATTCTGTGAAGGCAATTACCACTAGCTATGGGGTCAAACCAAGGTCTCAGTGGACAAGCACAATAGAGGCTTATTTCCCCTAAATGTAATGTTCAATGTGGGTTGGATAGACCCCTTAACCCTGTAGCTCCACCATCTACATGGTGCCCACGGTCATCAAAACAGAACAAAGAGAGTTGAAAGAGATGCACCCCAGCTCTTCAAGTCTTTCCCTGGAGGTGATACACATCATGTCCACTCATGGTCCTTGGCCAGAATTAATCACTTGGGCCCAACTGAAACTGCAAGAGCGGGGGTGTTGGGAAATGCAGGGGAGCACACAGGATACCGGGGGAGTGCTAGCTCAGCTGCAGCGCTTCCTGAGAAACTTTTATCACACTTGTCATTCTCCAGTAATTTACAAGCTTCTTTGATGACAACCGTCTCCCGCATTAGGCTGTGAACCCCAAGAGGGCAGGAACCGTGCGCGTGCTGGCTTATCACTCATTTTCAGAGTACTATGTAGTGGGTGCTCACTAAATATTTATTAAATCAGCCAATGAATAAACAAGTAAATGGGAAGTGGTCTCAGCAGGTGGGAGTTCATCTCGGGAGACACAGGACATCAGTTCAGAGGGAAACAAAACTTTGAAGTCTAAGGGGTGATGTTGAGTTTGGGATCAGAGGGGCAGCACATTTTGATGGAGTAGGGCGAGAAGACCTGATAAGGAGAGGGGTGGGTAGATTTCCCCAGCAGCTTCTAGCCCCCTAAATCAGCTTTTATTAATCCACTTGGCAAGGGCCATGGCCCCTCCGCTGCTGCCTCAGGGTAAGAGATAAAGAAGCCAGTAGCTGGGGGAGAAGGGGAAGCCTGCATGGCCATCACTCCTTCCCCTGCCAGCTCCCCCTGCCAAAAATAACCTAGCGACAGCAGAATGGGCAGTCTCTATAATTAGGCACCGTGAGGAGGGGACAGTCTCAAAAGGACACTTGCTTTAGCTCTGTCAGTTGTCTGAAAGCAGAGGCTCTTTTATCCAGGACAGATGGCTTAGGGACTGGTTTCTGAGACACAGGCAGGCAAGGAAAAGGAAACCAGTCAGGAGAAAGAGCCTTCAAACGTCTGGAGAGGCAATGGACTCTGGCACAATCTAAAGCCAGCTCTGCCTCTGATTAGCTCTGTGGTTCTGGCCACATTACCCAGCCTCTCTGAGCTTCAGTTTTCTCTGTACAACTCCTCACCATCAAGTCTAAGATGCACTTTTTTTTTCCTTCACATTTTAACATCTCTGAAATTAGGATGCAATTTGCAATCAGTGTCAGGTTACAACGCAGTTGACAAGGTGTTGTTGGGGTTTTTTTGTCCTTAATGTTACACAGAGTAGCATTCGATTTGATGAAGTGCAGCATTTCCCTTTTGCTTTAGGATCAGCAATCACACAGGTAAAGCCTCTGGCACAGGACCTGTGCAGAGTAGTTTCCAAAAAATTTGCGATTTTAATACTATCCCTTCAAGATTTTAAAAAACAGTCTTAAAGTCTTTGTGAATTGTTTGATTCCTACCCTCAGACTCTGCACAACCGTCATTACGGGCCTTAGGAGGTGCTCTTGCAAGGCTTGTTGGGGGAAGTGCTCTGATGTGTAGGCAGGACTGGAATACAGACTAGAAGACGGGTGCGGGGCTGAGGGGGGGGCAGGGGTAGAAAACAGAGAGGGATTAACAGGAGGAGAAATTAAAAGTGAAGTAATAATCGATCGTCTCCTTGGAACTTTACAGTGGCAACTGAAATGTGAGTGATGCCGGTTCCAAGCCTGGGAAAGGCAAATGAGCTCAGATGAAGTGATCGAGCCTCACGAATGACTCAGCAAGGAGCAAAGAAGAACATGCAGAACAAATCTTCCTGAGCCGTAGAGAACCAGAGGCTAAGCTCCGCCAGACCTGGAAGAGTTGAGAAGCCATAAGCTTTGGTTACTGTAAAGTTGGAAGTTGAAAATCTAAGACTTTTTCTTTCCTTTCTTCTTTTTAACCGGAAGAGAGAGACCGTTGTTTGGTGCAAAGCTCCCTATCAATCTTTAAAGAAATGAAGGAACACTGTTAGGTACACGGGAGTAGATCTGGAAGTAACGCCTGCATTTACCCCCGGTAGAACCCAGCTCCCTCTGCCCTCATTCACCCCACACCCAGATGATTGGTTCAATACAAATTGTATCAGTTTTGTTAAAATTTTGTTAGTGTGTGAGTATCTGGGTATTTGTATTTGACTTTAAGATTTGAATGGTTAGTGTGCTTTTCGAAATGCCTTTTAGGAAAGGATTTCATTGCTTAATGGAGCAGGGTAATATTTAGAGTAAAATCAGGGTTTGATCTGCACTGATCTGGAAAAGTTCTGCAGGATGTCAAATGTTTATGGTTTTACAGGTCCCAATTGTAAGAATCAGGGAAAGACATTAAAACATCAAGATAGGGGCTTCCCTGGTGGCGCAGTGGTTGGGAGCCCGCCTGCCGACGCAGGGGACGCGGGTTCGTGCCCCGGTCCAGGAGGATCCCACATGCCGCGGAGTGGCTGGGCCCATGAGCCATGGCCGCTGAGCCTGCGCGTCCGGAGCCTGTGCTCCGCAACGGGAGAGGCCACAACAGTGAGAGGCCCGCGTACCGCAAAAGAAAGAAAAAAAAATCAAGATAAATAAGCTTACAGAGAAACTTGTGTAAGTAGTGACTCAGGACATTCATTCTTAGGAGAAGGGAATTATTCTGTTTTTTTTTTTTTTTTTTTTTTTTTTTGCTTTTTACGGGCGTCTCTCTTTTTTTGTCTCTCCCCCTCCCGAGCACAGGCTCCGGACGCACAGGCTCAGTGGCCATGGCTTATGGGCCCAGCCGCTCCGCGGCATGTGGGATCTTCCTGGACTGGGTCACGAACCCATGTCCCCTGCATCAGCAGGCGGACTCTCAACCACTGCGCCACCAGGGAAGCCCCCCCAGGAGAAGGGAATTATTAATGAATTACTTTAATGGTAGAATTGCCAACTGTTATGTTACCTTTATGGCTGAATAGAGCAAATGTGAAAATGCTCAGTTTTGTTTATAATTCAGCATACAATTGTGTAAGTGTGCCCAATTCTACTCAAGGAAAGTATAAAGTTGTATAACAGGTTTATATTTAGAAAATATAGATTATACAAAAATGCAGAGCTGAGTTTTTTATCATAAGATAGCTTGGCAAATAGCAACATGCTTAGAAATACTTTCTATGATGCAATATGTCCTTTAATTTAATCAAGATGACTTTTCTTTAGAGATCATTTTTGTTAAAACAGTCAGTGATGGAACTTACATTTGAAACAGTGAGATAGAAATTGGGCTGTTTTAATGTAATTTTAATTTAAAACATTCCATAGTGTTAGAGCTTATTTGCTTGGTAATTTGAATGAGAGTATGTAATGATTATTGGTGAACTTGATGGGATCTTATGTTTTTAGCGGTACCTCCTCTACCCATAATCTGGCCTGTGCTCTGACGTGGTTTGCGATGTAATCACTGTAAAAGAGGCCTGGGCTATTGAACACTTGGATCAACTTAGATCTACAAAGAGATTACAAACACTTTTTGTTGTTGTTGTTGTTGTTGTTGGTTTTTGCGGTACGCGGGCCTCTCACTGTTGCGGCCTCTCCCGTTGCGGAGCACAGGCTCCGGACGCGCAGGCTCAGCGGCCATGGTCCACGGGCCCAGCCGCTCCGCAGCACGTGGGATCCTCCCAGACCAGGGCACAAACCCGCGTCCCCTGCACCGGCAGGCGGACTCCCAACCACTGCGCCACCAGGGAAGCCCTACAAACACTTTTAATGAAGATGTTACAGTGTTGATACTTTATATATTTTGAAAATAATTTTTATCTCTTTTCATATGAAACTTGTCTATGGCATAGTCTGTCCCTATCCCTGGGCTGGTTCCACAAATGACTGGAAATTTATTTGCATGATCCTGGGAGTGGCTAGTAGAGTGTGCTGTGAATATGGAATTGGTATGGCTGGATGCACTGGGGTTTGCAGAAGCCACACCATGACTTTACACACAGATCCTCAGCCTGGAAGAAATCAAGTTTCAGTTTGATGAATTTGCTCTGGGCCATCTCCAGGACACTTTACGTACCTTATGTACCGTTCCTCAGATGCTGTGGCAATACAAATAACATCTTCTGTATCGATCCTAAAATAGCTGGAGATATTGCAGTTCCTTCTTGGAGGCCCTGATGGCAAGTGGAGGCCGGGTGCCAAGTCCATCAGCTGCATCTAGCTGCACCAATCTGGGCATGTGCCACGGCGCGTTGTCACTCAGACCATGCCTGGACTGGAGAGAGTCTTCTTCATTCTAGGTCTCAACAATCCTTTCTGGAATCAGTGGGACTAAACCACAGTAGCCGGCAACTTCCCTGAGCTCTCTTCCACCGTCACAGAATCTTGGGAAGGCCAGATTCCAGCCCAGGCTGATGCTTGAGTGAGGGCTTGGTGTCTCTATTCTAGTCCCTGGAAGGCTTTGACCCCTGGATCCTTCTTCTGGCAGAGGTCATTGGTCACCCTTCAGTATGAGGTCGGGTATGCCTGTATTGAGGCTTGTCCTACCTGCCAAACTCAACCCATTTTGGAGAGGTAGGGAAAGAAATGGGTAAAAGACAACAGGTTAATAGAACTGAACATCTTCTTGCCTTTCTGACCAGCCCAGCATGCACTGCCTGGGGTGGGTCAGTCAGCTTCCTGTGTAAGTGTTACAGGCCACCTCCTGCTATACCTCCCTCACATTTATACACATTCATGTTCACTCTCACATACACTCACTCACCTGTATGCACCACACACACACACACACACTCCCACCAGCCAACTGGACAAACCACCCAAGGGAATCATGCATTTTCCTCAACTTAATAGATGCTCTTTCCCAACTATCCCCTCCCAGCCCCCAAGAAACATGTCATTTACAGAAATCAAGATCCAACTCTTCACCCTAAAATCAAGGACAGGAAGGATCTGGCTACCTTTCATAGGCAACTATGATCTTTTTCATGACAAATTACAGGGTGTCAAAGAGCCTTCTAAACTCCGGTTCACACCACTATGGACAGATAGCACAGATGAGTCCCTGTACTGGGCTTCCCCTCTGCCACCGAGAGCACACCTACAAGCTCCTCAGCTGCTGTCTGTAACCCATATTGGACGCCCCACTGCTCCTGGCGCCACCCAACTGGAAACCGTTGGTCTCAGTCTCACTTGGATACTTGAACATAGAGCCTCGTCCAGTTCCTGCAACCAGCACTCTCCTAGGTAGGTGTCCTTCAACCAGATTATACAAGGTGCAGAGTTTGAAGAGTATATTCATCTTTTGAAGCTCAGGTCTTCCGTCCAGGACAACCTAGAAGAAACTTACAATGGGAAGTTAGCAAATCCTTGACCACACCCAGCAAGGACTGATGTCATTGTAAAGAAGAAAAACTGGGAGCTCCAGCTAAAACAGGACAGCCCTGTATGGGGCTGGGTCCACCAAGACAGGAGACATCAGTCTGGAAGGGAAACTAGGATATAACTAGGTTGCATATTCATACAAATCCCATGTAAGTACTTTGAGCCCTCAAACCCCTGCCTCTATTTTTTCTCACCAGGCCCAGACCCTGTATGGTGGCCCTATCAAGGTGGTCACAGTAAGAGACTCACTTCCAATCATTTTCAATTCATGAAGTCAATTTGGAGGAACCAGTCCATCCATTAAGCTGGACATTCTGAGGACAAACAGTTCAGATGTGGGCCTGTGGGCCAGCAGAGAAGGCCTTCTGGACGTGCGGGGATCAGTCCAGGTCTTCGGTGATACTCTGAGGCCTGAACCACACCAGGTGGGTTCTGAGGACTCACAGGTGTAGTCCTCCAAGGCCTCCTGGTCAGGGGCAAAGCCCTACTTGACTGATGTTCTGACCCACAGTTATTTCCTGGACCCTGTCTTTACACTACGTGTGGGCCAGTGTCCCCTCCCCCAAAATGTATATGCAAAATACTTAAGGTTGACTTGACCAGGTTTCTGCACTCAAGGGGCAAAACTCTTATACATCAGGAATAATACTTCTCTGGTTGCCATAGGTATTCAAAAACTCACTTTTGGGCTTCCCTGGTGGCACAGTTGTTGAGAGTCCACCTGCCGATGCAGGGGACACAGGTTTGTGCCCCAGTCCGGGAAGATCCCACATGCCGTGGAGCAGCTGGGCCTGTGAGCCATGGCCGCTGAGCCTGCGCGTCCGGAGCCTGTGCTCCGCAACGGGAAAGGCCACAACAGTGAGAGGCCTGCGTACCGCAAAAAAACAAACAAACAAAAAAACTCACTTTTTCATTACCATCCTGTCAACAGACTTCCTCAGAATAAAAGGAATATTCTTTGGACCCCCAAATTAGCAAAAACTCCTCCCCAAATCACGATCTTATCTGCCCTCATCCAAGCCTATTCTAACTCAGCCCACCCATGTCCGCCTGGCTTGGAAGCCTCCCAAACATATATACGGGGCCACCATGTTGCTAGAAAACTTTTGCTCTGTTGCCAATTTTTCAAAGAATCTAGTTCTGTGAGAAACCAACTCCCAGGACACAGATAACATTAAAAGAGGTTTTAAGGCTTGGAGAGATGAACTTAACAGAATCTGACATACTGGGCCTCAAAGGCTAACGACAGCGTCTGGAAACAGCTCTCAGAGACAGGAAAACTCAGCCCTGGTCACTTAGAGTGGGCACTTAACTTTCAAAGATGGGGTTTTCAAGCAGCTAGCCTAGGCAACCTCTCAGCTAAACCTTTATCATATGAGCCCAAATAACAGGAGCTGGCAGAGGCCAGCCTAACTCAAGGAAGGTGCTCCATTCTAAATAAATTATAGCTTAGCGCTCCTACAACCTCCAGCATGACCAGATACCAGCAACAGGCCAGTGTTGCATTCAGCAGCCCCTGGACAAGGTCCTGTACCATTGGGTAGGGACTTCCAGAGGACAGAGGACAGGGGAGGCTTGCTCTGCCATTATGACCCCTTCAGCATGTTCCCTGGGGAAGAGCCAGCACACAGGCCTGTACTTCTTCCAGGACAGAAACCCAGACACATCCAGATGTGAGGTTTCTGGCAGAATATACTCAGGTCCAGGCAAGGGCTGAGAAGACTCTAAAGGCTCCCTATTTCCCTTGGATGCCAGAGGCCCCTGAAAAACTGTACTCTGTAATGGTTGTGGCCTCTCGAATTGCTGGTGTTACGGATGATGTCACCAAGACAATGCACATGATCTCCTGGACCAGAGCCCATTTCCAGCCATCACAGCCCTATTGGTCAAGGTTAGATTCTAATCCACCGACTACCTAGTGGCCTGAGTTTGCACCCCAGTTCTGGAAGTACAGTTCAAAGCCCAATGAGTGTCAATCCACCTCTCTGTCCCCTGGTTTTATTCAAATAATAAGTGAGTCAGAGACCAGAGAGGTCCTACCATTGCTATACACAGAGATGATTTTTAGCCAGAATCCATTCTGCTTAGTATATACTTGTAGAAATAGTGTAGTTCTGGTGAATAAACATGTTTAATATGACTCCTGGCTGCATGTCATATAGTCAGCATGCCCCATGCCCTCATCCTGCCTCTAATGAGCTTTCTAACTTTGTCAGGTTTTTTATGACCCAGGACACAATTTTGTACAGTAAGTACAGATTCTTAAGCTGCTTAAAATGGCTCCTCAGTCCCAGGCACTGTGCTAGGCCTGGGGACAGCACAGAGAATACCCAAGGGCCCTGAGGATTCTCACGAGCTTCCTGGCTATCATTGTCCCCTAGGATCTCGTCCCAGACATGCTTGCTTCACCAAGGGGAATCATATCTGATACACCAAAAAAAAAAAAAAAAAAAAAAAAAAAAAACCACCACGGATGTCTAGATCTCTCAGGCTACAAGAGAGACAATTCCAGAATGGAGACATCATCTGGTCTCCTCGCCCTTCTCAGCATCATGCCCTTGCTGAAATCTGGAAGGCCTCTTTCTGATTCAACTTCCTGTGAAGTTGCAGAGGTGGTGAATCCTGTCACATGCTGCCATCAGAGACCCCTGAGGGTACATGTTCTGCCCAGTGGAGCCTTCCCTGCCTGCCCTCGCTCCCCTCCAGGAAGAGGAATCAGACGGGGTCAGGGCTGGCTAAAGGCCTGCACACCTTTTACTTCCTGGCCAGTCTTTCCCCTGGACTTTCCCTCTTTGGGATCTCCCCTCCTCCCAGCTTTTAGGGCTGCCTCTGGCATTTCTGACTTTCAGATTCACCCTTCGCTTCATAATGGTCAGTCCGACAGCTCCCCCGTGAGCAGCACCTGCTGCGGTCCAGCTCTGCCTCAGCCTGCGCCCTGCCTGGCACCTGTCCAGCTGATGTTAAAGACATCCCTGGGTGTGTTTACCCCCAGCTCATCTCAGAAGTATCTCAGACTGATTCCTTGCTGTCCCATTCAACATAGGACGTGAGAGCTTCCTTCCGTAACTCCAACACTACCTGAGGCAACTAGGGCCATGCTGTCCTTCTCTGTTTACTCATGTCCTGAGCTGTCGAAAGGGTAGTTGTCCTCAGGAGGGCTGAACAGAGTATCAGGGCACAGTTGGTTGTTATTCCAGCCGGGCAGTCGGGGGCAACGTGCCGGCTGCCATCAAAGGGAGGTCCTCACTGGAGCTGTGACAGAAAAAATTCACCTGATAATTAAGAAGATGATTTATTCAGGTGATTGCAATAAGGAGAACATCCACTGATGAGGAACGTTTCAAAGAAAAGGAAGGGGACCAGGGGTTTTATAGAGGCAGGTAAACAAGGGAGCCATCTTGGAATCTTACAGGAGTCATGAGAAAGGATGGAGTTGAGACTTCCCTTGGAGACTCTGAGGGCAGTGTGGTCCTTTGTGGTTAGCTGGCTTGTCATTTCCAAGGCACAGAGGGGTCCGGGGATTTCTTAAGCATCACTGCTGAAGTTGCACAGAGCTCAGGTAACGCTCAGTAATGTCAGTCCCGCCTCCCTGTTCCAGATGACTATCTTTTGTCACTGAACAACTCAGAGGCAAGCATAAGTCTCCCAAGGGGCAGGAAGCAGGGCCTAAGAAACAGTCTCTCCAGAGTTCTCGCTGGTGTTGTTCTTCTAAAACTGGTGGCGCATCTGTTGAGAGGTGGGGCAGAGGTCAGTTGTTTTATGGTCCTGGAGATCAGATATCTTAAAAGAGGGATGCCTAAAATAGAGACATAATAGTATAAGAATTGTATTAAGGTAAAGAGCCAGGAGTTGAACCTTGAGAATTCACCAGTCCAGGGGATTCTAGAGGAAGAAAATCTTGCAGCACCACTCCTTGAGTTTCTCAAAGCTAAGATGGCCATACTCTTGGTGATGTTGTGTGTCGTCTTGGCTACCTTTCATTCACGGGCACGTGTGATCCAAGTATTTTGTTGGCCTTCCTTAGTGGTCCAGCAGCAGCTTGTCCAGGGAGAATTCCAGCCTGTGCATGGTCTGCTGTGGAGCTGGGTCCTTAAAGGTTGCTGCCAAGTCACTAGGCTACAGCTTGCAGAGCTTCTTCAGATTCTGGGGGGAAAGGCCAGCTGCAAGGCAACCTGAAGTGCTGATAGGATCCAGGTAGACAAGTTTTAGTGCTTGGTAATGCTGAGTCAGGCAGGAGGGAGAAAAATTTGAAAAGTTAGTTTGGAAGATTGTAGTCAGATATTGAAGAAAACTGAAAGAATTGAAAATGTGGTAAGGATCGACAATTTTGACAAGGCAACAGATCCAGTCCAACTTAAAGGAAGGGACCAAAACTGGTTTTTCCATGAGGGGTGGGGGAAGGAGGTCAGTGAAACCTCATCAGACAAGACAGAGTTTGCACAGTCATCAGCTACCTGCAATGTACAAACAACTGCAAAAAAGAAGAAAACTCAAAGGCAACAAACAGGGTGAGAGTCTGATAACCTGGAAGGGTGTGCTATAATTGAAACACACATTTTCTCTTTTTTGATACCCCTCTTTTGGCAAGGATAACCTCAAAGAAAGATTTTTCTTGATCACAAAATAAGGCTGGTTTCAGTAGATTTGGCCTATTTACATAGGTACCTCCAGAATGACGATCTTCCACATAGGCCTGCTTAAGTTCGTTTGCTGGAAGTTCTAATAAGGTATCTCAGATTGGCTGTTGAAAGCCTCTTCAGGCTAGGAAGCCAAGCCTAGGATTTGCCATCAAATTCACCTGCAGTGCTCATAAATTTGAGCAAATTCCTCTCTTCTCAAGGTTGCCCAATTATCCTAAGGCTCATGGGCCTGCCAGGAAGTGATCTTCCTTACTCACCTGTAAGGCTGGGAACTCGGCAAACAAGTACCAGGTCAGTTTTCCCAAGAAGGCTTTGTAACCATTGGCTCCATAAAATCAACCTTAGTTCCTTAGAAGTATCAGGTCATTTCTGATCAAATGAACATCATTCTCAAATATGATATTCCAGGCAAAGCCTTGGGGTCATAACCAGTGCTTCCAATTTTGTCCTGTTAAAAAGGAAGACAGATTCTTATTGAACCTATGCAAATAATTATATTGCCATGAAATTAAGAATACTCACAAGACTTTCTGAATTTTGGAACCATCAAGGAGGGAGCATAAGATATTTACACATGGTTTGTTTCTGGTTAGCAAAGCATAGTCTACTGAATTATTATGAGTTATAGATAGCTTTAGGAAAAGAGAATGGAGTTCCTTATATACCTAGAAAACAGAACATTAAAACAACACCAACAATATTCCAAACAAAACCCACCATCACCCCTCATTCATTCATTCGGTCCTAGGTAACTAATTCTTGTTCCCCTGGATTTTGGTTTTGTATTCTCATGAATTCATCTGTGTCTCAGCTAGAATTCTAGAAATCCTGACTCAGCCCACTGGTATGGTCTCACAGTTGTCTAAATAAGGCCACCAGAAGCCTGTACCCCAAAGTGCCTAGCATAGTCCCTTTCCACAGGACTCTGAGACAGCGCTTCTTTGTCAAAGACAAGCACTCTAGTCTATAGCTGATTGTAAGTGCTTTCAGGGAAGCATCAGAGAAACCCAAAAAACTACCTTTAGATGACAAAATAAGATGGCTGTGGTTAACCTGTTACTGACATTTTCAAAAGTGAAAGATAGGCTGGGAGTTCATAACAAGAATAATACAACTGACAAGGAAATTTGGTCGTTTCTACAGCACAGAAACCAAAATAATAAAGTCAATCCAGAAAATGTTTTAGGTAAAATATCTGTTAACATAACGAGTAACTCTATTTTCAAAGAAGAGTAGACATTATATCTAATTTATAAAAATGGAGGAACGTAATCTTCAGAGGAAAAATATCTTCAGATATAACATATAGTAATCCTGACATAATATACACTAAGAATATATAAAGAATATCAAGTAAAGAGACTCTGTAAATCTGGAATTGGTCCTAAACCTCTGCATATTAATATAAGCCCATAGTAAAGGATATTAGTTTCCAGTTGAAAACTGCCACTGTAGTAGTTAAATTCAAATTAAAGAAGCTATGGCTGAGTTACCATTTTAGGAAATAGCTAAATTATGCCTGACAACACCTCCTGTGGTTGTCTACAGTTGGTCCTGTGTCCATGGGTTCTACATCTGTGGATTCCAGCAACCGAGAACAGAAAATATTCTGGAAAAAAAAAATTCCAGAAAGTTCCAAAAAAGCAAACTTGAACTTGCAGCATACCAGCAACTATTCAAATAGCATTTACATTGTATTTGCATAACATTTACATTGTGTTAGGTATTATAAGTAATCTAAGGAATACGGGAGGATGTGAGTAGGTTATATGCAAATACTTTGCAGTTTTCTATAAGACTTGAGTATCCACAGATTTTGGTATCTGTGGGAGATCCTAGAACCAGATCCTTGTGGATACTGAGGGATGACTGTACTATCAGGTACAGCAGCACCAAGAAACAACAGGGCCAATGAGAGCATTGACAACACTCTAGGAATTTTCCCCAGAGCATATAGTTCCTGAAATCCGAATTTAATTACAATTTACCAAACTGATTTATTACCCTGGGACATGCTAAGCAGCATCTCTTCTGATTTAACAACTCTTCCTATGCAACTCATCAGTAGTAACCATCAAATATACCCAATTATTTCCTGCCTTTTCTCTTTTTACAATGAGAGAACAAATCCTTTGTGTTTTTTCCTTTGGGAAATCTTAAAGACAGTCTTGGGTGCAAAAGGTATTATTTAGGATCAATTTGGGGTAAGACAAAATATCAAAAGTTGTCAGGATATTCGAACACCTGAATACGGTAGGATCATGAGTTCCTGAGAAATAATACTTGGTACTTACTTAAAGTGACAAGAAAGGATTTTAAAAATAAGCATAGGAGGTAACGTGATTGTAAAGAATCTTAGCTCTTTCCTAAGTAAGAAAACTTTGTTCTCTTAAAGAATCAGGGACATAATAAAGTCAGCATAAACCATAAAAATTATTCTGGCAAAACACAGAATCTTTGTTACCTTGGCAAACCACACAGAAGGTACAGAATAACCTTTTACAGCTTCATATTCATTTCTGATTGCTGCTCTAACAAATTTGGGAGCTTAAAACAACACAGATTTATTATCTTATAGTTCTAGAGATCGGAAGTCCAAAATCAGTCTCACTGGGTTAAAGTTAAGATGTCAGCAAAGCTGGCTCCTTCTGGAAGCTTCAGGAGAGCACCCATTTCCCTGCTTTGTCCAGCATCTACAGGCCCTTTTCATTCCTGGCTCATGGCCCCTTCCCCAGTCTTCAAAGCCAGCAGTGAACTAGCTTTCAATCTCTTTCAGTGTCTGTTGTCATATCACCGTTTTCTTATTCTGACCCTCCTGCCTCCCTCCTATAAGGATCCTTGTGATTACACTGGGCCCCCCAGATGTCCAGAATAATCTCCCCATCTCAAGGTCCTTAACTTAATCACCTCTGCAAAGTTCCTGTCACCATGTAAGGTGACATATTCACAGGTTCCAGAGATTGGGCCATAGCCACCTTTAGGGGGCTATTAGTCAATAGCCATTAGTCAATCTACCAAACCTCTCACGAAAGGCAGACGAATAATTTTCTCATTTTACTGGAGAGAAAAACAAATTCAAGTTTTGTGTCCATATATTTGATACTAAAACTCTTTTTAAAAAATCTTATAAATAAATCCATAAAAAAAATCCACCAAAACTTAGCCAGCTTTGACAAATAAAATCCCCTTTTCTAGACCTTCTGTACCTTTCTATATCCATTCAGGTTGTAACCTACACGTTCCTCTTTCTCATTATGGAACAACAAGTCCGTTTACTTTAGGACAAAATTACTCTTTTTTTTTTTTCTTAACAAAACACATCCTGCATACCTCAACTCCCGGAAACATTCCCCTGATCTTACTGAGCCACCATCTTCCCGGACCTCCACCCTATTCTGTCTTTGCTATTACACAGTGGGAGCCCTCGTCCTTCTCCTATGCTCCCATGAAATCTCCTCCCTCCTTAGGGACCTCCAGGCATCTGTGATTCCCTTCTCTTTCTTGTATCTTCAACTTCTTTAACTGTTCCTTCTCACAAGCACTTAAACGTGCTCAAGTCTCCGCTGTCTCCCAGACCCTCTCTTGACCAGGCCTTCCTCTCCACTTCCCTGTCTTGAAAGTGCAACCTCTACTCATATTTTCCCTCTCCATAGCTCCTGTTCACACCTTAAACCCACTGCCATATGAGTGCCTCTTCACCCATCACTCCACTGGTACGGCTCTCTTCAAGGTCACCAAAATCCTCCTGTTGCCACATCCAACCGATAACTTCCAACTTTGTATCACTTGATCCTACTGTAGCACTAGACTGCTGACTATTCTTTCTCTGGAAATGTGTCTGTGGGATATTATGCTCTCCTGGTTTTCCTCCTATCTTTTGACTTCTCCTGGATGGCATCCATCTAATGAATTAGCCCTATTATCCAACGAGTTGCCTATGTCAAAAGCCAGGTTTTCATCCTATAGTCTATATTCTCCCCTACCACCTATAGCCTTCAAATCACCAATTACTGCCTTCTAGATATTTTTTTTTTCCTAACTGATTCACTTTTTTTCCATGCCCCCTAGTTCAGGCCCCATTTCTCTTGCCAGAATGAAAATAGCCTCCCACTGGCCTCACTACCTCTAGTCTGGCCTTCTTCCCACCCACAGTGCATGCAGGATCAGAGTGACGTTTATAAGTCTGAAGCACAGATCTGAGCTGGTCACTCCATGGCTTAAAGTTTCAGTGTTCATTCCTCCCAACCTACCCCCATCGCCTTCATGTTGAAATCCAGTCTCCTTAACACGGATGATAAGGATCTTCAAATATTAGAACTTTGTTTATCCTTCAGCCTTATCTAGTGCCAGTTTCCCTCCGCATTCCTGCCATTTGCGACAACATGGATGGACCTGGAGGGTATTCAGGTATTCTCCTAAGTGAAATAAGTCAGGCGGAGAAAGACAAATACTGCATGTTCTCATTTATATATGCAGAATCTAAAAAAGATGAACTCACAGAAATAGAGAGTAGAATGATGGCTGCCAGGGGCTGCAGGTGGGGGAAATGGAGAGATGTTCATACTATATCTAATGTAAATATAATATATATAATGTACATATATCACATATGTAATGCTCATAGAGATGTACATATCTAATGTACAGCGTGGTGACTATAATTAGCAGAGAGTAGATCTTAAATGTTATCACCACACACATACACACAAAATCATAATTATGTGAGGGGGTGAAGATTTGAACTAACCTTATTATGGTAGTCCTTTTGCAATACATACATGTATCTAATCACCATAGTGTACACCTTAAACTTACATATGTTGTATGTCAATAATACTTCAGAAGTCGGGGAAAAAAAAGAAATAACAAATTAAAAAAATAAAATTCGCCTCCGCAAGCTCTAAGCTGTATATACTGTATGTTCACTGTGCTTTCCTGCGTTGGGTGGAAAGCACAGTGGGTTGGGTGGAAAGCACAGTGGGTTGGGTGGAAAGCACAGTTGGGTACATGATTTTCTTTGAGCATTTACCCCCATTTTCAACTGGCTAAATCTTATTTATACTTCAAGTCTCACTCTTCTGTAATTGCTGTTTTTTTGTGTGCCTTTCCTGGACCACAGGCTCACTGAATGCAGGGGCCATGTATTGGCCCACTGTCTCATTCCCACGGCTTGTGCCCAGTAATTATGTGCTCTCAATATGTATTTGTTGAATAAACAAAGTTTTAATGAGATTCAGAGCAGGTTTTGTGGGTATGAGGGTGTGGGAAGGGTGAATGGGTGGAAAGAGCAGTTAAACAGGAGAGTTAACAGAGTTCAGGCTTCAAAGGTGGAATCTTGGTGACTGCAGAGACCAGGATGGCGCTAACCAGGTGGTTGGTGAGTAGAGTGGAAGTGAAGGTCACTGGGGCAGAGAGTATGAGGGAACCATGACCTAACATATCAGATGAGTGGCACTTATATTGCCCTGGAGAAGTCAGGCACAGGGTGGGGTGGGGAGGGAAGCTGTGAGTCAGGCTTCAAAGTCCTTTCACGAGTGGTGTGATTAAGGCAGGGAGGTGCCTTTTTCGATGGCCCAGCTTCAGCAGAAGACAGGAAGGGAAATGAACATGATGGAAGCATTAACACAGGACCAATACGGACTCCAGGAGAATGATGACCCTCCTGTGTGACTCTGAGGTCTGTGGACATAGCATGGGAGACTGAGGGGCCCCTGTAGAGAGGCCTTCAAGATGAAGAGGTCAAGGAATTTCCAAGAAAGAGGTCATGCCTCATAGACTATAAAGTATAGAGTATATTATATAATACATATATATTATATTAATAGAAAGGGCTTGGAGTCCAGTAGAAGGATTGAAAAGGTATCTCCCCAAGGGCAAATTCAAGTGCTCAGATGGTCAAGTGCTCAGATGACGCTGCTTCTTTCACTTTGGCTTCAGAATTTGTTACAAACTCCTTTTTCCAGAAACTTCTGCCATCTTGCTGCTATAATTCTCAGCTGCAGTGGACTTATCCCAGTTAAAAGATTAATCTGGAATCCTGCTCTGACCCTTAAATCAAAGGAATCCAAACCTTGCATGTGGGATTATCCACCCCCGTGCATTCTTTTATTCTGTGGGAAATTGGGTCCCTACTTGTTTTTGTGGAATGTCAGCACAATAAAGCCCACCTTTTGGGGGACTGCCGTTAAAAAGAAAACTCTTAAAAAAAAAATGCAGTGGGAGTAAACTCCTCATTGAACAAAGTTTCAAAATTAGATAAAACTTGCAGTCTGCTCACTGAAGGGGGCGAGGTGCCTCCCTTCCCTGGTAACTAGAGAGAAGCAGAGACAGCCTCAGGAACCATCTTGCTCAGGGCTTGTCATCAGTTGATTTCTCTCTGAGCCTAGACAGCTATAGTTTTTCTAATAGCTTCTAATATGTTTGAGATCAATTGTCCTTGGTTGGAATGAACTTTACTTGTAATGTGTTATTATTTTACTTATATTTCATACTTTTTATTTAGGTTTTTCATATATATATTCACTGGCAAGATTATATATATTCACTGGCAAGAGTCACTGGTTTTCTTTGTGTGTGCGTTGCATTTATTGAGGTTTTGGTATCAAGGCTATAACCAGAATAAGAATAATCCTCCCCCATCCCACCGCCAACTTGTTAGAAATGGCGAATCACAGGCCCCACCCTCGACCAAGGGAATCAATATCTGCATTTCATCAAGATCCCCTGGTAATGCACGTGCACATTAGTTTGAGAAGCTGTCCCAGGCCTTGACATTTACCGGAAACTGCTTCTTCCATAGTCTCATGGTAAGCAACCTGGCTCTCCTCCTTTCTAGCACCTCCTCCTTTCCAGCTCACTTGGCCTACGGTGCTGATTACACCATCCTTTCACCCATCATTCCTTAGATCCTGCTGCCACTTCCACAGAGTCTCTGCCCTCCCATGGCTCCCACCTCCTCCCCCATTTCCTCATTCCTTCCTATCCAGCTCGGAGGCAACAGTCAGCAATTATTATTATTACTTCCTTGTATATGCTCTCGCCTTCCTTTCCCCTTTTTCCCTCCATGGAATTATCTAAGAAAAATAACCCCGGCTGAATCCAAGTCTCCACCATCCTGTGCTGGCACCATCCCAGCAAATTGTGGCCTCTGAAAGACAGACTATCCCGCTGACTGGCCCGTCTGTACACCTTCCCCTCTCCCCTCCAGCTTCCAACACCTCTACCTTGTCCACGCTCTAAGCTGATGACCTTGCTTGCTTCCTATTTCCCTGAGAAAAGAGAAGCCCTCAAAGGAAACGTCCACACGTTCTGCCACCTCATCCCCGGGGCTGCCTGTCCTCCGTTACTGTGAGGGAACGCTTGCCTTGCTGGTCTCCAAGGCCAGACCCACCACTGTGCGCTGCAACCTTCTCTACTTGCTCACTCAAGGATAACTCTCCACAAAATGCTGCCCCACCCCAGTCATCATCAAATTTTCCCTCACTACTGAATCATTCCTGTCAACACGGAAGCTGGCTCTAACAGCTCCCATCCTCAAAACAAAACAAAATGAAATAAAACAAAAAATCTGTTTTGACTTCACTCTCCCTTCTGGCTGCTGCCCCATTTTTCCACTCTCCTTTAGAACAAAGCTTCATGAAAATATTGTCTGCACCCATGGTCTCTCATTCTAGAGCCCAATTCTCTCTACAGAGGTCTTTCTAGGTCTTATTCTTTCTAGAGACCACTCCTGTCAGGCTTTCCCACCCACTTCTGCTGAAACAGCTCTTCCCAAGGCCACTAGTTACCTCTGTGGCACTGACACCAATGACCAATCACCACTATAATCTTACTTGAACTATTAGCCACATTCAGAGCCATGGATCCATCCTCCATCCCTGATCTTCCAGCATGTGAACCTCTCCTGGGTCTCCTCCGGCCACGCTGGCTCCTCTCAGCATCCTTTGCTGGTTCCTTGTCATCTCCCTGACCTCTCAGTGTTGGGGCCCAGGCTCACCCTTGGCCTTGTCTTTTATTAACCCTCTCTCCCTAAAGGATCTCCCTGAGTACTGTATTGAGATTTTACTTACTCTGAGGACTCCCCCAATTCTATCTCCAGTGCAGACCTCTTCCCCAAACCCCAGACTTCTACATCAAGCTCCCTCCTTGGGTGTCTCACAGGCAGCTCAACTTAATATGCCCCCAAATGTATTTCCAAGTTCCTCCCTTCATATCTGTTTCTGTTTAAGTCTTCCCCATTTCCCCAAATTGTATCTTCCAGTTGCTTGAGAAAACAAAAGACAAAAAAACATACACACAAAAACTTAGAAATCAGCAAAATCAGGCTTCCCTGGTGGCGCAGTGGTTAGGAATCTGCCTGCCAATGCAGGGGACACGGGTTCAAACCCTGGTCTGGGAAGATCCCACGTGCTGTGGAGCAACTAAGCCCGTGCGCCACTACTACTGAGCCCACGTGCCACAACTACTGAAGCCCACGTGCCTAGAGCCTGTGCTGTGCAGCAAAAGCCACCACAATAAGAAGCCCATGCACCACAACAAAGAGTAGCCCCTGTTCGCCGCAACTAGAGAAAGCCTGTGCGCAGCAATGAAGACCCAATGCAGCCAAAAATAAATAAACAAAAAAATTTTTTAAATGAATAAAATCTATCTTTAAAAAAAAAAAAGAATTCAGCAAAGTCATGTCAGCTCCCCCTTTTAAATGTGGCTAGAACACGACTACTTCTTTAGTCTTCCACTGGGCTGAGTCTGTCTTCTTGTCACTGGACTATTTCCAAAGCCTTCCAACTGGTCTGGATGAAACTCTCAGGCCCTTCAGGCTGGGCTTCACACCACAACCAGAGTAATTCTTTTGAAATGTCAGACCACATCCTTTCTCTGCTCAAAACCCTCCAAATATCTCCCGCTCTCATTCAGAGTAAAAACCAAAGTCCTCACTTTGGTCTATATGGCCTCCCTCTCTTCTTATCTCTCCTCTCTCACCTCAGGGCTCTTGCCTTGCTGGGCTCCAAGGCATCCCCACCTCAGGGCCTTGGTCCTTGCTGTTCCTTCTGCTTTTCCATACTCATAGCTCACAGCAGTCTCTTTCTTCAAGTAGCTTGCCCCCTGCGGGAGCGCTAGAAATAACAATACCCTGCACTCCCTCGCCTCTTTAGCCTGTGTGCTTTTTCTCCATAGTACTAAAAACCATCTGATATCATATATATGTTGGTTTATTTGTTGTCTCAGGAGCAGGTAATGTTTCGTTCAGTGCCCCACCACCTAGAACAGTGCTTGGCACACAACAGATACTCAAAAATAGCTGTTCAGTTACAAATTAAAAGCAAAGCAACAGAAAGAAATGAAAATATACATGTATGGCATTTTTATGTACCAGAGTCTGTTGTCAGAGCTTTGCGATGCATTATCTCATTCAACCTCATAAGCCTATGGTACTATGCTATTATACTTCTGTGTGAGTGTATGTGAAGGAACGTAGGAACAGGGACAGGAAATAGCCCATAGCGACTAAATGGTGGAGTTGAGATTTAAATCCAGGCTTTTGAATCCTACTAATATGGGTCATTCGATCACTTTCTACACTCTCTCTCAGAGGATGCTAAAATGAGAGTTACCTGTCCCTCGAAAGTAGGAAGGAATGAGTCTGCACAAGTCAGCCCCCGGCCTTTAGCAGAAATAGAGCTTTGTTAAGAGTTCAGGAAGTGGTCGCAGACAGTGGACGTAGGATTCCTTTGGTTAGAGTTCTTAGAACGACGGGACCGGGCTGAGCACCAACATCTCAGCTGCAGGTGAAAGGAGAGGAACTCCCGTTCTCTGCTTCCGCTTTTCTCTGCTCCCCCTCCCGCTGCGGCTCGGCGCGGACTCCTACGCCCCGAGTCCGCCCGGCCGCCCGAGGGCGCCCGAGGCCGAAGGGGGCGTTGCGGCACCGCCCGACGTCGCGCCCTCGGCGGCTGCGCAGACGCACGTCAAAGCCGGGCTCGGGCCGGGAGCGGGGAGCGGCGCGGCCTGGGAGAGACTGAGACTCCGGGAGCCGGGCGAAGGCTGTGCGGGGCCCCGCAGCAGAGCCGCAGCCGGAGCAAGCGAGCGAGAGCAGCAGTGCGGCGGCCGCCGCGGGAGCCCCTGGGCCGCCGTCCGCTCGCGCAGCCGCCGCTGCTGCCGCGGGATCCTGTCACCGGGAGCAGGAGCGGGCGGAAGACAACGGAGGGGCCGAGCGCCCAAGCCGCGCCGCGGGGACCGAGCGAGCAGCCCGAGGCGGCGGCGGCCGAGGACGGAGACGGCGACGACGCGGAGGCGGAGAGGGAGCCGCCCGGCCCAGCCCCGTGAGTGACCCCCAGCCCGACCCTTTTCGAGGTGCGGACGCCAGCCCGGCTTCCGCCTCCCTGCCCCGGCCCGTCACCGGCCCCGGGGCTGCCTCCATTTTCTCGGGTGGCGGCGGCGGCCCCAGCCCGGGAGTCGGCGGGAGCGGCCCGGCCTGCCCTCTCCGCCCGGCCCGGGCTCCTCGCGGAGCCTTACCCCCTCGTCCTCGCCGTCGCGGCGCCCACGGGCCTGCGGCCGGGTCTCCGGAGGCCCCGTGCTCTCCTGCCAGCTTTCCGCGGTTCTGTGGCGGGGCTGGCGGCGTGGGGGCGTCTGCGGCCGGAGCCGGGAGGACAGGGGAGTGCGGGCCCGGGTAACTGTCACTCCCACTGCACAAGGGCTCCGGCCACCTCGCTTCTGGTCCCTGGTAAACTTCCTGTTATCAGGAGGCGGATAGCATCTCTGCGTTCTTCAGTTCGGGAAAATGCCTAACCGATTTCTGGTTAGGAATTGTGCGGTCGGAGCGTTCCCGAGTTCGGTTGAACCAGCCTGCGCGCTGAGTGCGTGCAGGCGCCCTGGTCGGTCCGTGCCAGAGGGATTCAAAGGGGAACCCGGGCCCGCGGTCCCCTCCCCCGAGGAGCTTACGCTGTGGTGCAGGAGATAAGGCTAGTACACAAATAACCACGATACCGGGAAGGAGATGATAAGTCCTGTGAAAGAACTACAGAATGCTAGAAAGGTACCCAGGGAAGACCGGACTGATCGATCACTTCCGCCTAGCAGAAATCTGGAAGGCTTCTTGGGCGAGGCGGTACAAAGCGGGTCTTGAAGGCCCGACGGCATTTGGGAGAGGGGAGGGTTGCAGAAGAGAACGGTATGTGGAGGAGCCGCAAAGCTAGAGGACAAAGGTAAAAAGGTATAGTCTAGAAATAGTATATAGTGCAGTTTATTGCGTAGGGCCACAGTGGGGACTGGGGGTAGGCCAAAGAGTTGCTGGGGGGACAGATCGTTGAATGCTGTAGAGGAGCCGTTTGAGTGGCATTTTAAGGAAACTTAGAGCTGATTTCTCAGTGACTCATGGGCCCGGAAATGTAAGCTAGGGGATATTAAGGGCGCTCTTGTGAAAGAAAGAGAAGGAGGCCCAGTAAAGAGGTGACATTCTGTGCCTTGAATATAATGCAGTTTGAGATCGATTTTGACAGCTTCCCGGATATTCAAATAAATCCACGTCCAGGCTAAGCAAAGGACCTTTTGCAAAAAGCTTCTTTAGATATAAGGCTCTTAAGAAGTAATGGAAAGGTGTGTGTAAAATGAGGTGTTTCTGTTGGTGCAGTTCACTAAAATGCATCAAAACTTCTCGCACTGTGTATTAGGTGTCTACATTTTGGAACTACTGAACTGAACATAACTTAGTTCTTTGAGATGGTTTTTGTGTAAGGCAGTCTAAACTGATGCTTTAAAAAATCAGATTGTCACTAATAGAAAGTTGGACATAGAACCTTTTCTTAGAAAGGTAAAAATTTCTTCATTAGTTTTTAGTTATGAAAATATTTATAGGAGAGCCAGAAATGAAAGTCTTTGGCTTTATTTTGTTCCTTTTTTCCAGATTACTAGCAAATAATTAGCACCTTTATTCGAAGTCTAGAAGTATGGTCTATGGAAGCAGCTTAGAACCTGTGTTGGTTTTGTAAGGACTTATTTGTTGTTTGTTTATATGACAAGTGAATGCCAACTTTTTTTCAGTTAAAAAAAAAGACTTTTGCAGGAAGTACTGTAGAATTTTTAAAAATTATCTTATGTAATCTCACCACTTATGTTACTATTAACATTTTTGCATATTTCCTTTTCAGTCTTTTTATGTTTTTTTTTTTACATAATGAAATAAGCTATGCATATATAGCTTTTCTTAGGCTTTTCATTTTTGTCATTGAATATCTTCATATAAAAATAGTTTTACTGAAGTGTAAGGGAAGTCTTTCTTCTTAAGTGTATTATTTTTTCTGATAAGATAGCCTTATTTACCTCAGATAAAATGCAGTAGTCATGCTTAATAACTGTTGCTGTGGACGGAAATTTTTCTAAAGCCTTCTTGTTTGAAGACTATTTTTTAACTTCTCTGTAAGATTTGGATCCTATTGCTTGTTGAATGAAGAAAGGTTTTATTACTTGGGATGTGTGTTGTCATCAGGTATGGAAGAGATCACACATTTCTGCTATATGAGTGGATGTACTTTTTTTTAAAAGGCACTATAAAAAGGTTACTTTCATAGCTGGTATAATATCTCCCATACACTGTGATGCACCTCCCCTTCTCACTCCACCCCATCTCCCCCCGCCCCTAAAAAATAGTCTTTATACTAAGGCCATCCATATAGGTTAACTACTTTTTGATCATAACATCACAAAGATTCAGGCTAGGTGTATTTCATTTTTCTGTCGGTATTTCTTTAGTAAAATATAGAATTTGTTGTGAAATAATTTGCTGCTGTAACAAAAGGGACTTTTTTTTTTTCAAGGCAGATCACTTTAGTTCATTAGCAGGTTCTTGTTTAAACCAGTTTTTTCCCTTGTGCTTTACAGTCTAAACTGCATTAATGAGGTCTCTGTTTCTCTTTCTAATGGCATTTAAAGTGTGATGCTGAGTTAGACTATAAATTTTAATAAAGTTACTGTAAAGGAAGAGCTGAGAAAGCCCAGTTTAAGTATGGGGCTTGGTTTTATAATCTGGTCTTATTTTTATTTATTTATTTTAATCTTTTTGGCTGCGCCCCGAGAATGCAGGATCTCAGTTCCCCGACCAGGGATCGAATGAACCCATGCCCCCTACAGTGGAAGCACAGAGTCTTAACCACTGGACCGCCAGGGAAGTCCTAATATGGTTTAATTTGAATCTTTATTTGTATTTTGCAAATGTGTATACCACAAGGCATCCTTTATTACTTTTGAATATTTACTGATGTATTTTTCTTTTGATCAACTTTGGTAGGTTATAGATTTCTGTAATTACTGCCATATTTTACTAAGCGTCTTTTTTCCAAGAGAAGTTGTTCATTGATCATTCACAGTTGTGCCACCTGTCATAAAATACAGACACAAACCCAAATCCCACCCCCCTACCTCCACCCACCTCACCTTAGCAGGCAAATACAAAATCCAGTATATACAGCAGGATTTCATCATTTCAGGTAGTGTCTTCTGGTTACCTTTCTGGTGGTGTCTCTATTTTAAACATCAATTTCCGTCTTCCATGGCTTCTTTTATTTAGAAATTTGATTTTACGGGTGTTTTCTGGTGTTAATAGAAGCAGGAGTCTGATGGGTGGATTAGTGTATATAATGGCAAAATGTTGGTAAAACTTTGTTGTGTGATGAAATTGTGGAAAAGAAGATCAAATCTTAGAAACTCTGTGTTAGGTTGCTTATGACTTGTTTTGTTATTTAATTATTGAGATATAAAGATCTTGTGTTTGTGTGAATGCAGATCAAGCCAAGTAGCCTAAACATTGCGTAACAGTTTGGTCATCAGTCTGTAATCTGTTTTCTATTGGAGAGAAGGCTAGTTTGGAGCCATCCTTAATTAAAGAAGGAATTGATCTATGGGACTTCTTACTTATGTGTCTCACCACTCAAATGACTATCCAACTGGACCCTAATCACTACCCTGTCAGTCCAGAGTATGAGGGCAGAGCACAGTGAGGCAAATATTTGTACCACCACCATTTATAGAGTAGACTTGTCTGGGAGTAAACGCTAAATGTTTGTTCTGCTTCTGTTTCTTAGGCCTTCCAAGGATTCTGAAAAGAGTTATTGCAAGACTAGGTGGCAGATGATAGACTGTGGTGATGAAATTAAGGTTAACAGCTTATTGCAGTCAGCATTTTGCGGGGGTGTGTGCACATGCATGTGTGTGCATGTGTATGTTGTCCTCCAATGTGATTTGTTTTCTACCCCACTGAGCTTCCCTGGCGCCACTGTGCTTTTAACTTTTCTCTTGAGATAGAAGGGGTGAGGGGATGGCAGAATTGTGGGTTTTTAGCAACTGTGATGTTAAGTTGGCAGAGGAAGGAAGAGTGGCATGCAGAGAATTGCAAGAAGTCAGTCAGGTGTGAAGTAGCTCCAAAGGAGGGAGGTCAAGCCTGCCCTGGCCGTTTATGTTGGCAGTGTCTGGCATATACCTATTTGCATAACCCTTAGTACATTGTGTCTAATTTGAGATTTCCATACTCAGAATACAGTGTTTAAGTTGTAGGTTTGTGTGTGCTTCTTGATATGTATATATATATATTTTCCTGTGCATGGTTACAGAGGCAGAAAATGTAGTTAACCAATATTTAGTGGCATTCTGGTTTTATATGATAATTATTCCTTAGGAGCATTATCCAGCAGATAAATTTTTATAACCAAGGAAGTATGATAATGTTAAAATATCACAACACTTTGATTATTTTAATAACATGTTTGAGAAACAAAATACACATTTTGTAGCTTGATCTTAAGTTGCTACTTTATAACTTTGTCAAATGAACTGTAGTTTTTTCTTTTACAGGGTACCCTTAACATGTTAGTCACTGTTCTCTCCCTCCACAGTAGATTATGTATCAGCTGTATTTGGACACAAGGAAGAAATAGCATGAACAGTTTTCTGTTTACATGTCTATAGTTTAAGGCCCGCTCTGGGATTTATAGGATTCTGAGAGCCAGTATTACCTGTGGTTAAAAGCACAGATGCAACCAGACTCCTGGATTGTTGAACCCCTCAGCCCTCTTATGGGCTCTGTAACTTCAGGCAAATTCCTTCACTTCTCTCTAGCTTAGATTCCTTGGATAGGAATGATACAGACCATCTGAGAAGATTGTAGGGGGATTAAACGAGTTACTATGTCTAGAGTGCTTAGAACAGGGCCGATTCATACTGAGTTTTGTGATGGTGCTGATGCTACACTGTTTCAAGTAGAAGAGAGCTTTAGGAACCCTGTAGTCCGAATGGTTCTTCCTGCACCATAACTGGAATGGGGTGTGGCTGACTTTGAGCTGTAACTGGTGGAGTTTTCTGCGAGGTGGAGTCACTTGCTTAGGGTTGTGCTGCTTATTAGTTGTAGGACTGATGTAGAGTCTGGTTCTTTGTTCTTTATCCAGTTTGCTTGAAAGAAAGTTAATTTTATACTTTATGCAGTAATGTCTTCTTTGAATTTTTTCACAAAAAATTTACAAAGATTGTATTCATATGTTAAATGTTTTATGGCACTTAATCCTTTTTTTAAAGGTGTTTAATATACTAATGTTTATAATCATGATGTAGATGACAAGTTTTTTTTGGAAGGGGGGTAGTTGTATGAATATAAAGTTGAAATAGGTGAAGAATCAAGTGGTATTATCCCCCAGCATCATTACAGATGGAAGCCAAGGTGAGGGCATGTCCAAGGTCACACAGACATTGAACAGTTGAGCTAGGATTTGAACCCAGATTTGCCTCACTTCAAAATGTGTGCTCCCGGAAACAGTATGACTCTCTCATATGACATAGTTTTATCTCAGTCCATAGGGTTTTGGTTTCTTGCTGACTTCTTTTGATTTAGTACTTTAGAATGAAGGTTTGTAAGTATACCTAAGAGGATATTAATAGGTTTCTAGGCAGCAACCACATGTTGTAACACAAAATGAGATGTTTTCTTCTAAATGCTCTAGTTGTATAGAGTCATAATTTGATTAGTGATTATTAGGCCAGTAAGTAGTGTTTATTTTTCATGTTGGTCTTGTAGAGAAGATGGGAGGCTTTGTGTTATAGTGGGCAATGCAGAAGCCTGGGAATTGGAAGATCTGGGCTGGGTCCTGACTCGTTCACTAATCACGTCACTCTGGGCAAGTCTTTCCACCTCTCTAGGCTTCAGTCGTCCCATTATTATACTAAGGGGACCAGACCGAAAAGCTCTTTCAGTCTCTTTTGCTCTTATTTTCAGTGATCCTATGTGTAAGCTTTCTGTAGGCTTTTCCCCCCTCTACTGGACACCTCTCCTTTTGCCTGTGGTCTTGAAGTCAGTTTCTTTACGTGAGCTCTGTGGCACGTAACCATGCTTTTACATTTTTTCTTCTGGTTGGTCAGGTGCCTCGTGTTATTTCACAATGCAGTAGTTTTCTGCTTCAGGTAATGTTACATCAAAATGTATTTATTTTTCAAATTTTCTTCTTTTGTACTTATGAATAAATGGTTACGATCTAGTGTTATGTGGTTGTGAAGTACAAGCTTAGTAAGTTAATGATTAACAAATCCTCAAGCCTCACATCTAGTTTCACTGTCAACTTTTAAGTATCAATACTATATGTTGTGAAGTGTTATGAGCTGTTTGTTTTGCAGAAAGGAAAAATATTAACTAAAGGCAATGTGAATGGAAAAGAAAAGACCAAAAATGTAGAAACAGATTTGAAGATGTGAAGAACATGCTCAAGATAGTATTCTTTGGTTATAATTGGTACTAATCCTCTACCTGTGAAAGGGTGGTAGGCTGGCTTAGATCATAGGATGGTTTCTAGCCCAGGGTTCTGTAACTGATAAGAGATGAGAGTGATATTCACCACCCCTGAGCATTTATGACTCCTCAGACATCTATTCTGAATTAATTTGTTCCACAGGCAGTCTTTACTGCCCATTATAATGGGTCCTGTTCTATATGTCAGTCTCAGAGGTTTCCTAGTCCAGGTAAACAACTCTTCCCCTCTTTGATGGCATGTTATCAGCCAGTTTACTTTTTCTGGATTCTCCAGCAGGGAGACAGAAACTCAGGTCATTAAAATGATCCTTGCAGATCTTTCGGCTTTCTGTTTACAATATGGTTTTATGAGAGATTAGTAGTTGGTAGGAGAGGTTCCAGAGAAATTTTAAGTTTAGAAAGCATTGGATTAAAAACAGTTCATCAGTTTTTATTTTTTGATGATGGTCGTGTTATTGTTTTTCTGCAGAGCTTTTCAGAGTTTTTAATGATGTGCATTTTGACTGTCCAGGAGGGAAATGTAATGTACAGTATTTCCCAATTTTCCAGTTTATTTGGTAACAAGAACACCTCCTTTCCCCAGGAAGTACCCACAAACACCTTGAAGGAGGGTTCTGTTGGAACATAATTTGGGAGAACCTCTTATTTCCATACTTATTAGTATGGAATTCAAAGCATTTACTTTTTAATTGGAATGATTACTTACAGCAAGTTGGAATTCAATTAAGGTTGGAATAATTTATTTTCAGTTTTGTTAAGTAAAAGAATGAACGCTTTAGGTGAGTGGCTTTTCAAGCTCCGCCCCCCCTTTTTTTTGAACTTCAGCCCACAGTGAGAAATTCCATTTTTAATCAGTGACCCAGCACATATATAAACACACTGTCAAAACTGAAAAAGAAGTTTCATGAAACAATACTTAGGCCTGCCTATGTACAGTGCATGTGTTCTGATACTTCTTATTTTGTTCTATTTTTAAATGTATGTTATTAGTTACTGAAATAATTCACCATTCAATTCGAGAAACACTGTGAGGTTACATGAATTTATAAACTCTTAAGACTTAGAGTGAGAAGATACTGTCAAGACTGTTTTGTGAGTGAGAAAACTAAAGCTCAGCCTAGAAGAGGAAGGGCTCTCGCTTTAGAATTCCTGGATTTAGATTCTGGTTGTGTTTTCTTGGGCAGGGTGTTCTGTGTCCATTCTGCTTCAGCTTTCTCATCTGTAAAATAGCAAGAGTAGAACCTACGGATGAAGTAGTCTTGAGGATTGGGGGATTCAGTAAGAAGTGCTTTGCATAATGTGTCTGATATGCTTTAAGTGCCCAATACCTTTTAGCTTTTATGATAACTGAAGTTATAAAACTCCTTCTGCACTGTACACACTTTCAAAAATATTTTAGGACTTTGAAAGTGTTAAAGTGGCCTTCAGGTGAACCTGAACTCTTTTTGATCTGTAGCTGGATATATCATTTGCTCTGATATCAGCCCTCTGGAATAGTAAGCTTTAAAATAGCCGTAAGGACCCACTCAAAGTTGATTTGCCTCCTAATTGTAAATGGACTCATAATTGCTTCATGCCATATTATTGTATTTTTTAAACTATTTTTTAACAGTATCTTAAGTTTAGAATAATCTTTCTTTATAGCATGTAATTAAATACAAATAAGTACATACCTATATCAGTGGTTAATTTAGTATTCTTATAGTTGTAGTTCACTAAAAGAAGAACAAGGTAAAAGTTGTTCTTTCCTGTTTTATCTCCATTTCTGCATTTTTTAAATTCCCCCATCCTCAGTATTTTATAATGCTATTGAGGGTTTAATTTTTGTGTCCTGACCTAAGAAAAGGAACATTTAGAGCGTATTAACAATGGTGGGGGCCAAATCCAGTTTGTAGACTGTTCTCCATTGTCCTGAACTTAGCTGGCTGCTTCAGTCATTTTTGTCACCTGTTGAGGCATTTACATTGTCCATCCCTAATTAAATTTTCTCCTGTTGTTTCTTTTATTGCCCATTTGTCCTCAGTATGACCTGAAGTTTCTGAAATGAGAGGTTCTAATCAGCATCACTGAGGCAGACCAAGTCAGTATTAAAGAAGCATAAAGATTCTGTACTTGTGTAAGTAAGAGGAATGAGGTAAAAAGAATAAATAATTACTAACATGGCACATATATGTTACCTGCTGGTATAAAGTTTAAGACCGCTATATATATTTACCTCATTTACTCCTTTAATAATCCTATTTTCATTACCATATTTTCAGTTGAGTAAACAGAGAAAAAGAAACTAAGTAATTGGTCTGAAATCATACACCTAGAAAGGGGCCCTAAATTTGAAACCCTGGTCCCGGAGGGTGCACTTGTATCCCACCATACTCTGTTGCCTTCACCACAAGGTATTGAAATGTAGAATCATCCTGGAACATAGGAAATTTCTGTTACAGAAACAGATGAGATCAAGTTTTTTTGGTCAGGATGTGTGATATCCTAGGACACTGAGACAACTTGCACATTACTGAGTAGCTGTCAGGGGTCTTTGAGGAGCTGTGAAGAGAGAGAGCTGTGCAGGAAGAGGAGAGAAGCTAATGTACTGTTCTTCCAAAAGAGGAAAAGGTGGAATCCACAAATCATAGACAGTGAACTTGATGATTGCTGGACAGATTCCAGAAAGGGGTGAGTCCTTAGCAGAGTGTTAACTTCTAGAAGCTACTGTCCATTTATTAACTATTTCTTTTCCTAATAGGATTCTATTAAGTGTGTTGGATTAGGATGTAGCCAAGATATGAATCTGTAAGGATTCATAGTTTCATTCATATTTGAGATTGTCTGAAAAATGTTAAATCGTATAATTTAAGTTGGAATATTTTTTAGGACTTAGAAGTCATTTTGATGTCTTTACAAGATCACTTTACTTATGTTTATTGTATTAGAATATAGCTTTATAATAATACACTTTTCCTAGGCTGCATCTGGCAAATCAGTTGCAGATACAGTGGCCCGCATCCCTGTGCCTTGCCTTCTCAAGTAGGCAAGGAGGAACTAGAACTGGTACCATCTTCCTGTATGTGCACACAGCAAAGTAAATACTTCCTAGTTTTATATTGTTAGAATCATTCACCCCTGTTCTTTAAGATTGGTCATAACCCATTTGTTTACCCAAGAGCTAGTCTTGCTCTTGTTCCTGAAGACTACCTAGTGAGTGACTGGAAGTAAGTTGATGGAAGAGGACTGGACAGTAGGGGAGTGCACTCCATCCTCACAAGAGCTAAAACCTTATGGGGGGGGGGGGTTAGCTTTTTTCTCTTTTATCTTATGAAAACTCCCCCACTTTTAAAATTAAATGTAGTGAGGGATGAGTGCCCTTAGCCTAGGCTATCATAGGTGTTTGGAAAGGGCACAGCTATCTTTTGCAGATGCTTTTGTTGTTGTTAAGAAGAGGAAGGAATAGGGAAGAGGAACAAGGCATAGCAGTGCATCCGGAAGGAAGTGACCAGAGAGAAAGACAGTGGCTCTAAATTTGTATGTCATGTGCAACTTTGAAAGAGCTAACGATAAAGGTGGAACTGGTTGCTTTTAGGAATTGTCTTAAGAGCTGCTGCACTTCAATAGATTGTTAATCATGGAATATATTACATGTATATTAAAGGCCGTGGCTTCCCAACCAAAAAAAGGAGGGAATCTTCAGACCTCTATAATATAGACAGGATAAGTTCTTTTAACAATCTTGAAAAACTTATCAATAAACGATCTCATTTATTCTAGATTCTACAAAAATACCAGGAGGTATAAAATTCATGTTTAAAAACCAGCATGAACTCTTAAAAACACAATAAAATATAAGAGAGACAACCTGCTGAGACATTACAAAAGAAGAAAACTATGTTTCGATTTCACTTGTGGAAATAGCCATGAAAATTCTCAGTAAAACACCAGCAAATTTAATTAAATAGGAAATTCTCTTAATTAAAGAAGACAAATAACGCTTGGTATTTACTGTGTGCCAGGCATTGCTCTAATATATTATCTCAGTTAACAGTCCTCAAAACAGCCCTAAGAAAGAGGTTGTTATTATTACCCTCATTTTATGCGTGAAGAAATTTAGGCCAAGAAGTTAAATTATATGTCCAAGGATAAATTGCCAGTAAGTCACAGAGCCTAGTTTTTGAACCCTTGAGGTCTGGTATCAGCATACATTGAACATGCGGTATCATACCAGTATGTGCCAAGATAACAATGCTAATTCAACAGTTCTTCCTGATTATGAACTCTTTAAAAGAATATCTGTTTTAAACCAACAGCAAACAACCTACTAAATGGGAAAACATTGGTGGAATTCCCCTTGAAATCAGAAAATGAAACAAGCATGCCATACACCTTTGATGTTTGATATTATCCTGGCCAATGCAAGAATGCATCAAATAAAAGGTATAACTGCTTGAAAAAAATGGTGGAAAATAGCAATATTTGCAGATGTTGCAATCTTAAACCTAGGAAAACCAACAGAATCAACTGAAAAACTAAAAGTGAGAGTTTAATAAGATAGGTGTATACCACATAAAGATATTTAAATGTTGGTAGCATTTTTCTTGCTAGCAATACCCAGTTATAAAAATACTGGGAGAAAAATCTCATCATAGCAACAAAAAATAAAATTCCTAAGTTGGGGGGATTGATATGAAATGTTTAGGATCTCTGAAGAAAACTAGTATAAACTTAACTGAGTGAAAAAAAGACTTAAGAATGGAGAGTTACCATGTTCTTGAATGTGAGTACTGAATGTTATGAAGCAAGAAAATTTCCCAAGTTAAATTAGTGTATTCTTGGCCAGAGAATACAGTCAGATTTTTAAAAAGTCAACTTAGGGAGTTCAGTGAGAGGTATATATGCACCTAATACATAAGTGAAATCATACATCAGTGGGGAAGGAGGAAGGAGTGTTTAGCAAAAGATTTTTAGATAATTGGTTATTTGTTCTCTGGGAAAATCGAGTTTGATAATTAAGCTACCCCTTTATGAAAATAAATCTGATGGGAGAATGAGAAAACAAATAAAAACATAAATTAGAACATTTATCTGAATATTTATCAGACCTTTGGATGAGAAGCAGGCTTATTTCCATTGCTGTCAAGTGATTGAAAGGGAAAAGACACTAAGGTAAATATGCGAAAAAACTTTGCATAATGATAGACAAAAGGTTAATATTTACTTCAGTAATAGTAAAAGCTCATACAGACTGATAACTGCCATTTATTAGTAAGCTCTCCCCGTGTTTTCAGTACTACCCTGGGCATTTTATTCATGTTAAAAATTTAATAGTCACCCTATCATTTTGTAAATAATCGAGACTCAGAAAGTAAATGTTTTGCCCAAGAGCTTTTGTGCACACTTGTACTAAATGGCGGGTCTTGGATTCCAACTTGGGTGTGATAAGATCTTATGTTCTCAGCTCTTAAAAGATGTTGTTTTTCAAACAGGTTGTAAGACTAAAAGCACTGGATAAATGAGTAGTCAATTCAGATAGTGGCTAAATAAAAGAAATTCAAATAAACAATGGGGCAGAGGCTATTAAATAGAGATTTTAAAAACTGATAATGCTTATGCTACTAGGGGTGGGTTGAGACGTGAGATAAGGCAATTTTATGTACAGCCTGGCCCTCTGTATCCACAGGCGGGGGTTGAGCGGAGTTGGTTCCAAGGACCCCCATGGATACCAGAATATGCCCTTATGTATAAAATGGCATAGTATTTGTCTATAACCTTTGTACATCCACCAGTATATTTTAAATCATCTCTAGATTACTTATAATACCTAATACAATGTAAATGCTATGTAAATGTTGTAAATACAGAGTACAATTAACCTTTGGGGCAAATTAGATCAATTGGATCAGCTTGTTCTGATCCCTTCAGCAATGAGAGCAGGATAGGATGAGTCAGGATAATATTTAAGACATAGGGGAACTGGCAAATTGTTGACTACCTGGCCTGGAGCAGAGTAGTTGGTGGGAGATTCAAGAGTTAAGTTATTCCATGACATGGGCATATTCTTCCTGGTGAATTGTAGATGTTTGCTGATTTGAAATACCAGATATTGCTAAGAAAGACTTATTTTCATCACCACTGACAAGTATTTATATGCAGGTGACCCTGCTAGGCCTTGCTGTAGGTGGAGGGTGCTTTGCCTTTGCTAAATCAGAGTAAATGAAATAGAAAAGTTGGCTGGTCATAGGGGAGGCAAGATGGCCATAGTTTAGTAGGGGTAACCAAATGTCTTGGCTTGCCAGGAAAAGTCCAGGTTTATGCCTGTTGTCCTCACATAATTATCCATTGTGTCACCCTTTATTCCCTGAATTGTCCTGGTTTGGATGATAAATTATGTCATCTAACATTTAGCAATTGCAAAACTAGCTGTTCTTGGACCCCTTCCCTGCCTTATTTACTTATTTATTATTTTTGATGCTTAAGGAGCAGGGTTGTCTCTCAGATCCTCAGGTGTCTCCTCCTAAAGTAGCTTGATTTTTGAGACATTTATTCTGGAGCCATGGCAGCTATCTGATTCTTCTTTTGAACCAAAAGACTTTTCTCTCTGAATGAGAACTCTGATGTTCTAACTCTAAAATGTTCTGCTCTACCTCAAGTCAGACATTTGAATGGAGAGATTCTAAGTGTACACACCTTGTTTTTGCCCCAATTCCCTCTTTCACTCTTCCTCCACTCATACGTGTAGCTTCTCAGGAACTACTGAAGAAAGAGAAGTTGTGGAGTTCTAGTTTTTAAATGGTTGTTGTTGGATGCCATATAACTCTGAAAAAGACTTTTTTTAGAAGGAAATTTGTTTTTGAGGTATAGTTGATTTACAATGTTGTGTTAGTTTCTGGTGTACAGCAAAGTGATTCAGTTATACATATATCCATCTTTTTTCAGGTTCTTTTCCCATGCAGGTTATTACAGAATGTTGAGTAGAGTTCCCTGTGCTATACAGCAGGTCCTTGTTGATTATCTGTTTTATTTGTAGTAGTGTGTGTCTGTTAATCCCAAACTCCTAATGTACCCCCCCACACACCTTTCCCCTTTGGTAACCGTAAGTTTGTTTTCTATGTCTGTGAGTCTGTTTCTGTTTTGTAAATAAGTTAATTTGTGTCATATTTTAGATTCCACATGTAAGTGATCTCATGGTATTTGTCTTTCTCTTTCTGACTTACTTCACTAGTATCTCTGGGTCCATCCAAGTTGCTGCAAATGGCATTATTTCATTCTTTTTTATGGCTGAGTAGTATTCCATTGTGTGTATACACCACATCTTCTTTATCCATTCATCTGTCAGTGGACATTTAGGTTGCTTCCATGTCTTGGCTATTGTAAATAGTGCTGCTGTGAACATTTGCGTGCATGTATCTTTTCAAATTAGCGTTTCCTCTGGATATATGCCAAGGAGTGGGATTGCTGGATCATATGGCAACTCTATTTTTAGTTTTTTTAAGGAACCTCCATACTGTTTTCCATAATGGCTGAGCCAATTTACATTCCCACCGACAGTGTAGGAGGGTTCCCTTTTCTCTACACCCTTCCCAGCATTTGTTATTTGTAGACTTTTTTGATGATGGCCATCCTGACCCGTGTAAGGTAGTACCTCATTTTAATTTTAATTTGCATTTCTCTAATACTTAGTGATTTTGAGCATCTTTTCATGTGCCTATTGGCTATCTGTATGTCTTCTTTGGAGAAGTGTCTATCTAGATCTTCTGCCCTTTTTTTTTTTTTTTTTGTGGTACGCGGGCCTCTCACTGTTGTGGCCTCTCCTGTTGCGGAGCACAGGCTCTGGACGCGCAGGCTCAGCGGCCATGGCTCACGGGCCCAGCCGCTCTGCGGCATGTGGGATCTTCCCGGACCGGGGCACGAACCCGTGTCCCCTGCATTGGCAGGCGGACTCTCAACCACTGTGCCACCAGGGAAGCCCCCACTTTTTAATTGGGTTTTTTTGTTGTTGTTGCTGAGTTGTATGAGCTGTTTGTGTATTTTGAAAATTAAGCCCTTGTCGGTTGCATTGTTAGCAAATATTTTCTCCCAGTCTGTAGGTTGTCTTTTCGTTTTGTTTATGATTTCTTAAAAGGACTGTTTAAAGAGATGATATACCTGTATTTTCTACACTTATATATTTATGTAATCTTTAATTCTTAAACGTTTCCATATTTCTTCCACATTTCAGAGCAACTGTTTTCAAGGGAAAGATAAAGCGTTTCACAAAATCATCTTGAGAGTTCACTTTAGGATGTCCATGGGAAAAAATTGCATTTAATTTGCATTTGCTTATATAATATTGAGCTTTATTCTTAGTTTGTGACAATAAATGGACATATCTATTTACACATTTTCATTTTTTTATGTTACTTCCTGTGTCATTTAATGACACATTTCAGATCTCCAGCCCCAAAAGTAGGTATGTGGAGTACACGGTAGAGTAAAAGATGGTGCCACTCTTAGTCTTCACTGCTCCAGTTTTGGCCTCTAAAAGGTTGAGAGAGCAATGTCTAAGCCCTACCCTTATTAGAGTTGCCTTTCTGAGGCACAGGGCTGGAGCAGTGATGCCTAGGAAGTAGCCCCTGTGTTACTTGGAACTCCCTTTCTTCCAACAAGGCAGAGATTTAGTGAAAGTTTATCTCAGGGAGGAGTCAAACACTCAAGGCAGAAATGCACTGGGGTCTCACCAAGAGTTCTCACCAGGGACACAAACTCTATTGTGAGTGTCCATCTGCCACTGCGTTTCTCTGTTTACTCACTGTCGTGGCCCCCCTCCCCCCAGCATCCTCTCTCTGCAGACCAGCTTTCTCCACCTGATAGAAAGCCTGGTCACCTACATTTCTTTCATGGAGCTTCAGCCCCTCAATAGACACTTTAGTCCGGGGTCTACCTTCCCCTCTAGGTTACTTTGCTGGGGACAGCAGGGGTATGGTTCTTACAGGACTATAGCACCTCCTATTGGAGCTGTGTTAATGGTGTGGGGTGGGAGGGGCAATTGCCAGAAGGAGATGGTGCTGGGGACCTTATGACCCTATAGAGTGACCTTATGACGTTCCCAGCTGTGAGGATTGTTGGCATCCTTAGCCTCCTATCTGATTTGTTTAGGTGTCCAAGATGCAAGTTCTAAAGGACTTCTTGGTTATTTGTCTGCCCTGAGGCCACATATTTCTTGCTATTCTTTTGTCCTTTATCTTTCTTTTTAGCCTTAAAAACAGGCTCCATCTTAGCTCCTCTGGCCATAGATATCCTCAAGGCCCAGAGGAGTCTGTAAAGAATTGGACCATAGTATCCTAAAGGAAATCCACCTCTGACTAAAAAGCTACTGCATTTGTATCAACAATCCTGGAAATACAGAAGGAGGGGCTGGGTGTTCTGCTTTTAGTCTAAACCAGCAGTGTTTGTTGATT